ACATCAATCTCTGACTCTATGCCTCCATAAACAGGGCAAAAATATGAGTGCATTTTTCATAAGGATCTCATTTTCTTGATTGGGATTATGCTACATTGAGTTTAGTGTGAAGCTGACCATATCACAAGGGCTCTGTAATATTGGCCATGGGATTGCTATTAAATTCACATAATATTTATCCAAGGTGGGGCAATTTAAATATGCTTATATGAGATCCTCAAGTGGGACGAATGATGAGGTGCTTAACTGCTAACTCATCCAGTGGCTTCATGAAATCAAGTCTTGGCAATCTGTGCCTTGGAAGGTCATAGGCACAAAGTCCCAGGGACCAGCTCTGCTCAGTCACCCATGAACTCACTGTGACCTGGGGCAGACACTGTGACAGTGGGCTTGGTTTGAGAATAAGAACAATGGTAAACAAATATTTTATCACTTTCCTTAAGCCTCAAACCTTATTTCCATCTCTAGATTCATCCATATATCCATGGTCAACTTTAGAAATAGCTTTGTCAACTGGAATGAAGAACTATCTCTTCAAGCTGTATGTGAAGACTGTGGTGATGTGCATAATCTCTCTTACTCCTGGGACCTCTTCTTAGTCAATGCAACAGAAGATAACAGTCTGGAAGGTAAACATTATTTCTTTTGTTGACTAAAGGGAAAAAAACCAAACTTATTTTGAGATTTCTCAAATTCGGCAAAATTTAGTAAGTTCTGAATTGTCTGCAATCATCACCATTTTCTTCATGTGCTTCCTAAGTAGCTGGAAGTATGTGAGATTCAGAAGCAGGTGCTCTCTGTTGTTGATGAGTCTGACTTCCTTTTATACAGTTTTATTGGTTTTAAAACTCATTAAGTCCTTGGAAATGACAAATGCTTTGACCTATTACTCCAGAGGACAGGCCTCTTCATGACATTGTTTGTTTTGGAGGCAGCAGTATTTAAGAGAATGTACAGAGAAGTCAGAGGGAGAAGGTTCTGGCCAGTCCTGGTCCAATCCTTCTTTGAGCAACCTCTGTGATTCAATCTCTTGGATGATAAGGAGGCTCTGGTGGCCTGGTGGTAAGAAGCTGTGCTACAAACCAGGGACATGCAGTTCAAATGCACCAGCTGCTCCAGAGTAGAGGAAAGAGTAATCTCCTGTGTGGGTTTTTTTTTCCCTCTGAAAACCCACTGGAGAGTCAACTATGGACCAATTCCCACTTGGTGGTATATAATAACATCACCACAATGCTTCATAGGTTGGTGGTAACATTAAATAATATAAGGTGTGAAGCCTGAAGGCACTGGTGGTGTGATGGTTGACCTCTTGCTGTTGTGTGGTTGGTACCTGGCTTGAACCTGCAGGGAGGCTAATTTTTCATTCAGGTGAACTAAATCTCTTATAATAAGGGATCACATGATGATACATGAAGGGGTTTCTGTTTCTGAAGTGGATGGTGAATTTTTTCAACAGAATCTTGCACTTGTATATCTTAATTTATTGACACTTTGAACGTAATATTTAATGCTTTTGATGAGGCTACCGAAATGATTCTGTAGGCTATGTTAAGTATGATAAGCCACAATGGTCAACGGTATATGAATATTTGGATGATAATTGTCTTTTTAATTTTTAAAGAGAAATTCCTAGCTTCTTTTAGGTTTTTTTTTTCAAATAAAAACTCATTTTAGAGGAAACTGCAGTAAAAACACAACTAGTGGCTAAATTCTCAGCAAAGTTAATAATTGTCCCAAATTATTGCTTCAAATGTATCATCTTTCTTATATATAAGTATCATATTAATTTTTTTAATAAATCCATTATAGAAACTAAAGTTTTCCTTATTGAGATATCATTTTTATGTCCAAGGAGATGTCTTCTTTATTATTCTTTATTATACATCAAAGACTAATACTTTTTAGAATTATTACTCTCGACACTGATAGGTAGGCGAGTAGAGATTCAGAGACATCTCATGCTTTCAAGATTGGTTCTAGAACACAAATGAATAATCCACATAGAGGGTCAGCAGATTTGACAGGCTGCCCTCTATCTATACAGGGAGAGAGGGGAGTACAAAGCCCAGTTAAAATGGCTATATCTTGGGTCCTACCTACATATATATTTAGCATGTCACTGTTCTCCATGACATCAGGTAAAAACTATACTACTATTGTGTTTATCTTTTAAGTGTTGTTGCTGTTGTTGTTATGTGCCATCGAGTTGTTTGCGACTCATAACAACCCTATGTACAACAGCCCTAAACTCTGTTCTGTCCTGTGCCAATCGCACTGTCTCTGACACTCCCATCCCGATTACCCCAGTCACTGAATCAATCCACCTTATAGAGGGCCTTTCCCTCCTGTCCTGTCCCTCCACCCTCCCCAGCATGATGTCCTTCTCCAAGGACCGGTCTCTCCTTACAACATGTCCAAATTATGTTAGACGGAGCCTCAGAATCCTTGCCTCCAAGGAGCCACCCGGTTTAACCTTTCCAGGATGACTCTGTTTTCCTAGCAGTCCATGGTACTCTTAATACTCTTTCCAGCACCACAGCTCAAAGGCATCAATTCTCCTATCTTCTTTGGTCATTGTCCAACTCTCTGATACAAAGCAAGTGATTGCAAAGACCATGGCCTGTATCAGATGCACCTTAGTTTCCAGAGAGACACCATTGCTTTTCAGTACCCTGGAGAGGTCCCTAACAGCAGACTTTCCCATGGCAATACACCTTTTAATTTCCTGCCTACTGGTGCCAAGAGTGTTGACTGTGGAGCCAAGCAAACTAAAGCTGTGAACAATCTCAATCTTTTCACCATCCATCCTGATGCTGCCAATTAGCCCAGTGGTGAGAATCTTTGTCTTCTTGACATTGAGCCTCAATCCATATTCGAGGCTGCAGTCCTTGACCCTCTTCAGGTCCTCCTCAGTTTCAGCAAGCTGGGTTGTGTCATCTGCATAACGCAGACTGTTGATCGATTTTCCAACAATCTTGACCCCAGATTTCTCCTCATAGAGCCCAGTCTCCTGGATAATCTGTTCTGCATACAGGTTGAAAAGGTATGGAGATAGGACACATCCCTGGCATACGCCCTTCCCAATTTTGAACGATGCAGTGTTCCCTTGCTCTGTTCTGATGACTGCCTCCTGGTCCAAGTATAGCTTTCACATTAGAACGATCAAGTGTTCTGGGATTCCCATTCTTCTCAGAGTCAGCCACAGTTTGTTATGATCCACACAGTCAAACGCCTATGCATAGTCAATGAAACACAGATGTACATTCCTCTGGTATTCCTGCTTTCAACTAGGTTTTCAAATTATGTCAGATGTATAGCAAACATTACACAATTGTATGATTTCTTGATTTTTAACAATCAAGTGTTATTTTGTCTGGTCAACACTTTTAATACTGTTAAATATTTAAGCTCTTTTGTGTAGAACAGTAGAACTTCTGGAGTCTTCACAATCTGGAACTATCATGAAGTTATCAGAGTCAAAACCATTGTTGGTGGAGGCTAACACAGCTGGCCTTGACTTCATAACCACGCCATCCTCTCAGGAACCTCTGCAGAAGACAGCTGGCCCACTTGATCGTTTGGCCTTAGGGACACTCTCGCAGCAGTCCACAATGAGTGTATCCCAGGATTTTACTGCTGTTGCTGATTCTGCAGGCCAAGTGGATGTTCTAGGCGAAGCAACAGTGTCCTCAGAATTAGTGTTGCTGGAGAATGGATCCATGGTTACTCATCTTTGGGAGGGAATGAAACCACCTGGAATTATGCCCTTACAGGACCCGCCCTCCTATCTCTCTGGTAATTACCACTCTCTTTTAATGTTATCTCCTTGTATGTGGACAAAAGTATCCTTTGGAAAATATTATTCTCTCTCTACTGGGAAAGTAATGGGGCCCACCTACAGCAAGAAGACAGTGAAAGCTTATGTGTGTTGTGTACACATATATGCATAAATTACCTGGAAAAAGATGGGCAGTCTACTCCTATGCAATTAAACACTTCTGAAAACCTGCCATAGGATCAGCTATGGGTTGGTTTTGATTCAATCATACACAACACACACACAACTTAGTAAATATTAAATATTTGTTTCTTCATCATTGTCTCTACTTGCCTAATAATTAGATCATTTTATCATCAGTTATTAATTTTTAGGTTTTATAGAAACTATTTCTGTGGTTAAAAAGCTGAGAGAAAAGTTCACTGTCAGTAAAAATATTTTTCTGCTTCCTCTCTGAATATTCTTAGCTCAGCGATTACATGATTTATTAACTTTTAACAATCAAATGTTATTTTTTTCTGGTTGCATTATTCTGACCAGCAGGAAAGTGCTGGGCAGAAGAATGAGCTACTCAAGACTTTCGTTAGGCAAGGGGGGAGGAACTCATTCCACTTAACTCTGTGTCCACTTCACCTGTAGTTCTCATAACTTTTATTTGAGCAGTTTTACAAGCAGAAAAATATGTTGACTAGAGTCACAATATTTGTTGATCTTTCCTATTCATAAGATCACATCCATATCAGAATTTTTGAAATAGCAAGAGAATATTTTCTCTGACATACACACTCCTAGAGAAGGCAGAATACTGCCATTTACTCAATAACCCACATCTACTGACCAATTGCACATTTACTTAGCAATGTTTTCTACTTGAGAATGCTATCCTTGGTTCTCCATAATGTGCAGTTAATAGAGTTTTCTCTTTAACAGAGTTTTCCCTGATCTCTGATTTCTACATTCTCTAAATCCAAGGGACTCTTGATCTAGTTAGCTTAACCCCTACAGTTTCTAATAAAAAGTTTTAATACTGTTAAATGTTTAAGCTCTTTTGTGTAGAATAGTAGAACTGAAATTCTGCTGCCCCCTCAGCAACAGTGCTTTCTTTGCCCTGTAAACCCTGCAGATACTACCATGTTCTAGGCTCTGTGTTGTAGTTGATTGGTAAGGAGTTCTGTGGACATCTCAGTCTTTGGAAGGGGGAGTTGAGGGGACCGAAACATGACATTTGCAGCAGAATGCTTTTATGTCTGCTCCTTTCCTTAAACAGAAGAGGGTGAGAAGTGTTCTCTAAAAAAGAGGAGTACAAGTATGCTAAATGGAGAAAATAAAGCTGGGCCTGGAGTCCAAAGAGCTCAGTTTGGAGTATTGTCCTCTCACTTATTAGCTGCGTTGTTTTAAAAAGTCACATGCTTACTTGGAACTTCAGTTCAATCTTGAAGTTCACAGGGCCAATACTATCTGCCAATATTAGTGTTTATGATGATAAAAGTGGAAGACTTCTGGAGAATATTTTTGTAATATACAAAGTAATATGAAGACTCTAGAAATAGACCAGAATTTTGCCCTGTCAAAAGAATCAGTATTCTATCAGTATTCATTTCTGTGGATTCTGTGATTTTAAGTGAAATATTATGCTTTTGTCTCCTTTCACGTAGATTTTGAAGCCTACTCTAGTGGTATACAAGAAGCAACACCCTCAAAAGGAAGAGAAGCAGGTACTACAACTCTGGTTGTTTCCAGCCCTGATGATGCTGTGGGCTGAGTGTTAGGCTGTAAACTGAAGCCCATGAAATAAATCCACCAGCCTCTCCTTGGGAGAAAGATGGGTAGCCTGCTCCCATAGATTTATGAGCCCAGATTTTGTTCTGCCCTGTGGGGTCCCTATGAGGTGGAATTGATTTATTGCCAGAGGGTATGGTTTGGGGGTTACTTCTGGCCACAACCGCATGTGTTCATTCTTTTTACTGTTGTAGATCTTTCACCATCTTTTCTGAAATCCAAACTTAATATACCACTTTCTTCACCCAGACATCTGACAGCAACTAAAAGTCAAAGAGAAAAGTGTCAACTTCTGTTCATGACCAAACTGGGCCCAAATCTGTATTTCTAACTCATCTGCTTCTCCATTTCTTATACTTTGTGCTGCAAATACTTGACAGGAGTTCCAGGCCCTCTTCTATGACTTGATTCCTGGGGTGCTTTTCCAACAATGTCTCCTTCACATTCTACTCAACTTGTTTACCTGCTGAACTTCCTACCTAAAGGTTTGGGTCAGCAATCATCTCCCTGGGAAGCCTACTTCCATTCTTTCCTGTGATTCTCAAGAACTGATAGCTAGATTTTTAGAGATAAAATAGATTGTCATTCTACTGCATGAAGCCCCCAAAGACTCTCTTTACACTTAGGATAATACTAAGGGGTGTGTACCAGTGTTGTTCTTACATGCCTTCAAATGGACTCTGACTCCTAGTGATCTTGTGAACAAAGGATTTAAACCTTGCCCTATCTTGTGCCATCCTTATGACCTCCACCATACGGGAGTCCATTATTTCAGTCACTATGTTGTTGTTGTTATTAACTGCAGTTGAGTGGAGTACAACTTACAGTGACCTTATGAACAAGAGATCTGAACTCTGTTCTATCCTGTGCCATCTTCACACTTCCTGACAAACAAGAACTCATTGCAGCAGTCACCACATCAATCCACCTGGTTGAGGATTTTCCTCTCCTTCACTGACCCTCCACCTTTCCCAGCATCTTGTCCTTATTTAAGGAATAGCTCTTCTTAGCAACAGACCCAAAGTATGTGAGGCAAACCCCTATCATTCTTGCCTCCAAAGAACACTCGACTTTACTCTCTCTAAGACATATCTGTTAGTTCTCTTGGCCATCCATGAGATGCTTAGTGCTCCTTTCTAATGCTATAGTTCAAATGCATAGCAAGTGATCAAATGCATAGCAAGTGATCAGAAAGACTATGGCCTCAATCAGACACACCTTAGTCCTCAAACTGACATTATTACTCCTCAATAATTTAGAGAGCGCCCTACATGTAGACTTTCCCAGTGCAATGCATCTCCTCATTTCCTGACTCCTGGTACCAAGGGTGTTAATTGTGGATCCAGGTAAAATGAAGCTGTTGACAGTTTCAGTCTCCTTTCCATCCTTCATGACACTGCCTTTTGGTCCAGTGGTAAGAATCCTTGTTTTCTTTTGACATTGATATGCAATCCACATTGAAGGCTTTATTCACTGATTTTCTGCAACAAGTGTTTCAAGTCCCTCACTTTCAACAAGCAAGGTTTTGTAGTCTCCATAACACAGGTTATTGATGAGTTTCCCTTCAATCCTGATGCCACACTCCTCTTAACAAAGTCCAACTTCTCAAGTAATTTGCTCAGCATACTGACTAAATAGGTCCAAAGAAAGAATACAACCCCCGTGCTCTCCCTTCTCAATTTCAAACCATGCAGTAGTCCCTACCCGGTTCACATCATAGTCACGCCTGGTCCAGGTTTAGGTTTCTCATGAGTACAAAAAAGTGCTCTGGGATTCCCGTTCTTCTCAATGTGAGCCACAACTTGTAATGATCCACACAGTCAAATACCTTTGCATAGTCAATAAAGCACAAATAGACATTCTTCTGGTATTCTTCACTTTCAGCCAGGATCCATCTGACATCAGCAATCATATCTGTGGTGCAATGGCTTCTTCTAAATCCTGCTTGAGCTTCTGGCAGTTCCCTATCTATTGTACTCTTCTAGCCATTTTTAAATGATCTTCAGCAGCATTTAATTTAATTTCTATTGGTACTATTTTAGAATGTTGTGTCCACCTATAGTAGAAGTGATATTGATATAATTTTTAAACCACTGGTGATTTAAGAAGATTTCAATGATTTTTTTTTTGTAGTTGCTGTTCATTGGTTTGATTTATCTTCTCAGGGAGTAATATCAACTTTCCTGGACCAGAAACAAATGGAAGTGATGATAGAGGCCCCAGTGCTGGGGATAACCTGATTGACCCATCCCACTCCACAGGCAGTGCTGTACCATCACTCATGATTGACTGGCCCAAGTCCCTAATCAGCCAGGCTATTTTCCAAAACTATGCCTTGTCAGGTATGTACTCCCTCTATATGCTGAAGTTTGTATCTGTTTCAAAATTATTTGGATATCAACCCTACACTTTTTTTGGGGGGGTGTTAAAAACATATAAATATTTGTAACTGTTTCTAGTGATCATTTTCTTTGATGTCTTTTCAACTTTGAGTTTGTCTCTTTATGGATAACATAGAATCCAAAGCTCTTTTTCCAAAAGTACCATTAAATCCTGTGCTGATAGAAGCTCAACAATTGCAGATTGAAATGCCACTTCCAAGTGCAAAGGGGAAGAGAGACACACTCAGCTCCTGCATCTGTGGGTCAAGAAAAATCAGTGTTTGCTGCATGTTTCTCATGTATAACACTTTTCTGTTCTGGACTTCTATGGCAGAGGAGTAGTTAGCATGTGCTGATCAACGTTGGTCATGAATTACAACTGAGTTCTCAACCTGCTTTTTCCCTATCACAGGTTTAATTCAATTGTTAGTTTGCACCTTTAGTAGTAATACATGCTATTATGGCATCTCATAATGTTAGATGGTTACTCTCCTATTTTTCCCTCACAGTATCTCAGGAAATAAGGTTTTTAATAATAATTTTTAAAACTTGGCATCATTCAAATAATCAGTCTTGTAGTCAGAACTTTCTTTTTTTCTTTTCAAAGAAAGTAATGAAAATAGATCAGAGTTGATCTTGCTGAAGATATAATCCACTTGCCTTATAATCAGTATTGATTTAAATACCAACATCTTGATTTTTATAACCAATTCCCTACAAAGGCTTTAAAACGTTTTGAAAGAAATTAATCATGTTTCGTGGATAAAAATAGTGTAAAATAACTAGTATAATATTCAGTCAGATTCTAAATACATAAAATAAAATTACTTACTAGTGGTCTCCAGTTGCTTGGGAAATTAATTCTATTTCCTAGCCAGGGAAGAGTGGTCATTCTCAGGATGGCTTCTATTGGAAAGAAGCCTAGAGACAAGTTTCAGTTCTTTAAAGCAAACACCAATCCCACCACAATAGAAAATATTTTGGCTTATTGTGATCCTCCATCAAGGTTTCTGAGGCTATCAATCTTTACAAGAGGAGATTGTCCATACAACACTTAAAGTTCTACTCTCCAGGGTGCCTTATAGCTTTTTTAATGAATGAAGATCCTAGGTGCCATAATGTATAAAAGAGGATAGGCTAACCAAATGGTCAGCAGTTCCAAATTCAATAGGTACTTAATGGGAGAAAGATGGGCAGTCTCTTCTATAAAGATGTGAATATATTCTATACTGAATATAGAGTACTCTTATTTTTAGAAAAGTAAAGCATCAGATTTTTTTTATTTCATACTGGTTTACTTACAAAATACAGATCAGATTTAAAACCTATATTACAACAGTTTTGTAGATTGTCCTAAAATACAGACATAGGTCTTCAAATCTAGAGAATTATTCCAGTTATGTGATTATATCTAATTAATATGGACATCTGTAGACTCCTTTCTACATTTTTTTGTGAGAGTTGTTATAGTTGTTGTAAAATTTTATATAACATAGCATTGGTCAATGGATTTATTTTTTTCTTGCCCTTCTAGATTTTTCTGTAGCATGTGATTTTATATTGGTTTGCATACAAGATTCATGTATATCATGTCTCATTCATGTACATTGTGCTTCACACTCTCTTCTTTAACACTGTCTTTCATACAGTTATTTAGATACATTGTGATTTATAAAATCAATTACTATTGAATTATCCCTATCATTACTCAGTCTCCATTGGATCTTTCCCATTCCTCCACTCCCTACCCCCAATCTAACTCCAAAACACGGATATCCTAGGGATTTCCCCCATACACATTTTACATACACTTGCACCATTCCCATCCCCTTTTGGACTTTTATACACATAATAATAGTTATCCTCATTTTTACAATAAGGATTTTATGTAGTATTTGTCCTTATGAGACTTAGTTCCCTCAGAAAAATGTTCTGTAGGCTATCCTATATTCCATAGTATTTTATGAAGTAATTGTTCCTTAATGCTGCATAGTGCATGTTATTGTTGTTATGTGTCATCGAGTTGCTTGCGACTCATAGGGACCCTTTGTACAACAGCCTTAAACTCTGCTCTGTCCTGTGCTAATCTCACTGTCTCCAACACACCCATCCCAATTACCCCAGTCACTGAATAAATCTACCTCCTAGAGGGCCTTCCCCTCCTGTGCCTGCCCTCCATCCTCTCAAGCATGATGTCCTTCTCCAAGGACTGGTCTCTCCTTACAACATGTCCAAAGTATGTCAGAGGAAGCCTCAGAAACCTTGCCTTCATGGAGCAGCCAAGGTTAACCCTGTCCAGGATGAATCTATTTGTTTTCTTAGCAGTCCACGGTACACTCAATACTCTTCTCCAACACCAAAGCTCAAAGGCATCAATTCTCCTTCTATCCTCTGGTCATTGTCCAACTCTCTGATGCATAACAAGTGATTGCAAAGACCATGGCTTGTATTAGATGCACCTTAGTTTCCAGAGAGACACCATTGCTCTTCAGTACTTTGAAGTCCCTAACAGGAAACTTTCCCATCACAATATGTCTTTTAATTTTGGCTGCTGGTGCCGAGAGTGTTGACTGTGGAGCCAAGCAGACTAAAGTTGTGAACAGTCTCAATCTCTTCACCATCCATCCTGATGCTACCAATCGGTCAGTGCTGAGAATCTTTGGATTCTTGACAGTAAGCCTCAATCCATGTTGAAGGCTGCAGTCCTTGACTCTCTGCAGCAAGAACTTCAGGTCCTCCTCAGTTTCAGCAAGTAGGGTTGTGTCATCTGCATAATCTGCAGATTGTTGATCGATCTTCCACCAATCCTGATGTCACACTTCTCATAGAGCCCAACCTCTTGGATAATCTGTTCTGCATACAAGTTGAAAAGTATGGAAACAGGACACATCCCTGGCATATGCCCTTCCCAATTTTGAACCATGCAGTGTTTCCTGGCTCTGTAAGTTTCGCATTAGCACGATCAAGTGTTCTGGAATTCCATTCTTCTCAGAGTCAGCCACAGTTTGTTATGATCCACACAGTTAAACACCTTTGCATAATCAATGAAACACAGATAGACATTCCTCTGGTACTCCCAGCTTTCAGCCAAAATCCATATAATATTAGCTACAATATTCCTAGTACCACAACCCCTTCTCAACCCAGCCTGGACTTCTGGCAGTTCTCTACTGATGTGCTGTTCCGGTCGTTTTTGGATGATCTTGCTTGCATGTGAAATCAGTGAGATTGTTCTATAGTTTCCACACTCTGTTGGGTCACCCTTCTTTGAAATGGGAACAAATATAGATCTCTTCCAGTCAGTTGACCAAGCATAGTGCATAGTATTCCATTATATGAATGTATCACAATTTTTCAATTCAGTAATTTGTTGATAGATATTTGGGATGTTTCCATTTTCCTTACAATTGTGAATAACATTTCTATGAACATAGTTGTACAAATAACCATTTGTGTCTTAGGTTTTTATTTTCCTTGGAATATATACCTAGCAGTGGAACAGCTCGATCATATGTAATTTCTATGTTCAGCTTTTTGAGGAAATGTCAAACAGCCTTCCAGAGTGGCTGAACCATTCTACAATCCCACCAGTGGTTCCAATCTCTCCACATCTTCTCCAACAATTATTGCTTGCGGTTAATGTTTAATTATTGTTATTGCCACTGGGCTGACACGGTATATTATTGTTTTGTTTTGCATCTTTCTGATTGCCAATGATTTTGAGCATTTCTTCATGTGTCACTGGCCATCGAAATGAATGTCTTTCTCTGTGAAGAGTCTATGTCTTTCACAAATTTTGTGATTGGGTTGTCATCTTTTTTCTTGGAGAGGCCCATAAGGATTCTTTAAATTTTCATCATGAGTCTCTTTTCTGAAGTGTTATTGACAAATGTTTTCTATCCAGTCTGTGTTTTCTCTTTCACCCTATTAGAAAAACTTTTTATGTACACAGGAACTTAATTTTTAGAAGATCCTACTCATCAATGTTATCAACTCCTGATTGTGCATTTCTGACCATTTTATCTCTTATGATCTTTATGGTTTTGAGCTTTACCCTTAGGTCAAGCCTGAATTTCTTTGTATGGTGTGATATATGGATCCTGATTTAGCTCTCTGCAGGGGGATGTCCAATTTTTCCAGCACCGTTTGTTGAAGAGGTTGTTGTTTGTTCATGTGATAGGTTTGTTTCTTTGTCAAATACCACTTGACCATAGGTGGTGGTGGTTGTTATGTGCCATCGAGTCACCTATGACTCATAGCACAACCCCATGTATGATAGCTCTGAACCTCTCCCTATTTTTAGCCAGTCTCACTATCTCTGACAAACCTCCCCTTTTACTCTAGTTTCTGTGTCAGTCCATCTCTGTGCTGTCCCTCCATCTTCCAAGCATGAGGTCCTTTTCCAAGAACTTGTCCCTCCTGGCCACATGCCCAAATATGTGAGATAGAGCCTCAAAATCCTTGCCTGCAAGGAGCAGCTTGGTTTCGCCCTCTCCAAGACAGATCTATTTGTTCTGTTGGCAGTCCATGGTATTTTAATACTCTTCTCCAGCACTGCAACTCAAAGACATCCTTTCTTCTTCTGCCATCCTTAGTCATTGTCCTCTGATGAATATCAAGTAATTGTGAATACTATTACCTGAATCAGGCACACCTTAGTTTCTAGACTGACATCTATCCTCTTTAGCACTTTGGAGAGGTCCCTAATAGCAGATTTCCCTAGTGCACTTTGTCTTTTGATTTCCTAATTGCTAGTGCCAACAGTGATGATTATGAAGCTGAGCAAGCTGAAATTAACAACCTCAATCTCTTCACCATATAGGTGATGCCAATTGGCCCAGGGGTGAGAATCTTTGTCTTGTTGGTATTGAATCCATATTGAAGATGACAGTCCTTGCCTTTCTGCAACAAATGTTTCAGGCCCTGCCAGTTTTGGCAAGCAAGGTTGTGTCACCTGCATA